CTTGACAAGATTATAAGAGTTTCAGAGAAGGACCAAGAAAATCAGTCTTTTTCATATTTATAATTATGTATCTCAATCTTATATTGATTAGAAATCTGACAGTATTTTCTACCTATGTGATATTATTATAATTATATATAATATTATTACAGTATAATATTACTCTGAACAATAAGTAAAACTCTCCAATAATAGGACTTGTAGTATTTATACCAGTTATAACTGTATGGGGAGTTAGTCTTAGCCACTTAGCTTATTTCTCCAAAATATCAAGGCAAAACCCCACAACTTCAGAAAGGAAGAATTCCATCTTTATCTGACCCATTTCAAACCTTAACACTTGCATACTCTGAATATGAACATAGGACCCTAATTCCCCAAATTCAATATATGCCAGCAGTCATGAGGTGTACAGAATTTGTATCTCAGGAAATATTTTCCAACCTACATTTATACTGAAAGCATTTCTCTATAACTTCAAGGTGGCATTAAAGGGATTACTCAGAAGTTTTACTTTGTCTCTAAACTATGTAGGTAATACAAAATGGAGACCTCTCAACATCTCTCTTTTTTATTAAAGAATGGAGTATAAATGTCACATATAAACCAGCAATGAAATCTGGTAACCTGTTTTTTTTGTTTCCTTAAATTCAACTCTATGATACAAAGATAATGAGACATTCCCTCTGTTTTCAAAGATACTGAATAGGAAAAAAATAATGTATGTTACTATTGAAATAAAAGGACTTAGATGAATATGACAATGGCCTAGTATTCAGAAAAAAATAAAGAATTTTGTGTTGAATAAGAATTCTATGAATGTATTTAATCATTTTGATAACAGAGTAAAATACATCTTAATCAGCTTAACAGCTGAATATATCATGGCTATTATAGCATACTTTCTGTACTACATTAGTATATTCTACTTTAGTTCTAAAATTTTTAAAAAATCAGCATATTCACCATGAATAATGTCTTAACATCTTTGCTCAAAACATATTTCCTATTTAATCATCCATATAAAATTTGCCATTTAATCAGTACTCATAAATTGAGTATTGATTATACTCAATTGAGTATCAATTATACTGGGTATCAGAAATAAAAATACATATAACATGTGAGTATATATGTATAACTGTGCCTTCAAGGAGAAGTACAGTGCATAGAAAGGCAGACATGTAGATACATAAATTATAACACAGACCATGAGAAAAGACATAAACATGTACCATAGATAAAGAACCATTCTGCCTTGTGAAGTCAGGGAAAGCATCTAAAAGAAGCAATTTTGAATTCAGTCTTGTGGGAGAAACACAGTTTACTAGGAAAGTAAAATAAGAAGAGTTTTCCATGTAGAAAGAATAAGTTTGTGTCATTAAACCTCACCTGGTATGTTTATGAACATGCATGAAAACCTTCACAAGACTGAAGCACTGGGTCTTGGGCAGGATGTGGTCAAAGAGGAGATAAAAGGCATATTTTGGAGCCAGTCTATATAGAGCTTTATGAGAAAAGAGTTGTAGACTAAATCTTATAGGCAACAAGAATATACATTAGTTTCCAAAGTGGGATAAATAATCCAACTCTTTTCTCAGGGAAACAAGTCTAGTGGAAGTTGAGAGGAAGATGGGAAAGAGAAGAGGCTGGAAATTTGACATTGTATAAAAGAAATCAAGACATTTTTGAGGCAGGAACAAATTTAGAAACCGAGTAGATATATACAGTAAAAGAAAATATCAGTGTTGATGTTTCTAAAACTAAGTTAAATCATTTCAACGTACACTGGATTAATGTCAAGTACAGCAGATCTTTAACTTTGGGGGCTTAGATCTACTTGAGAATCTGATAGAAACCATAACCCAACTCACATGTGTGCACACACAGAATTCTCCATTTATCTTCAGGAGAGCCGCAGACCCTAGCGAAGAATTTCTCCCCTGGGTAAAGTTGCTTGAGGAAAGGAGTCATGCCTTATGAAAATTATTTCCATAGTGCACAACGAAAACTTGGTACAAAGAAGGTAGTTCATATGTTTTATTTAGTTACACTGTATTCTCCATTACAAACTGGATTTCATTTTCATTAACACCCTGCATATTGACTGCAGCACTTTCACAGCATCATCTTTCAGGATTTGAAATAGCTCAACTGGAATTCCATCACCTCCACTAGCTTTGTTCACAGTGATGCTTTCCAAGGCCCACTTGACTTCACATTCCAGGATGTCTGGCTCTAGGTGAGTGATCACACCATTGTGATTATCTGGGTCATGAACATCTTTTTTGTACAGTTCTTCTGTGTATTCTTGCCACCTCTTCTTAATATCTTCTGCTTCTGTTAGGTCCATACCATTTCTGTCCTTTAT